TTTGCTGGTGAAATAAATATGAGGCAAAATGTTTATAATTATAGTCAGGCTCCTGGCTAATAAAATATAAAATAAGCAAATGTGGTAGTTATGAGACAAAAATAAATATAGTCCAGTGTTGAATCTTGCCTAAGCTTTAGAAGCTCAGTTAGGAGGAAGTCTCACGAGTGAGGGTTTTAATCAACCTTCAGGTGGGAACCTCAGCAAGAACACAAAGCTAGTCTTCTAGAACTCTGCTTCAGATCAAATCCTATCTGTTGCATAAATGGAATACATGAAAGTACTGCATTTAACACTCTTTGTAGGCCAGCTAGATCTATCCAACCCATATTATATGGGGTTTTTTATGTTTTGCAATTACTTGGAGATCATCTTCAGCTATGGAGGTTCAAAGTTAGTTCTTTGGACTATTTCTCTCTTACACCCATTCCCATAGAATCTTCTTTTCCTGTTGTTTACTTTTGATGTTTGTCTAAAAGCCTCAACCTGCATAAAGTATTCTACAAAAAATGTTCTGAAAGTCTATTAATACATTCCCTTTAGCATTGTCTGCATATATTTCACACTTATCTTTAGAATTGAAGCAGTCTTTTTAGTCCGTGCTAGTACAACACAGAGTCTAATGGAATTACAAAGATGAATACCCCTCAAAGCTCCCAGAGCCCTCATCCAGCAGGCCTGATGCTCTGAACAACGTTTTTCCGATTTCTAGCAGTCGTATTTACAGACGGATTACATTTGGTAGTAATTGCCATGGATAACTCTCCTTCAGTACTCCTTTTAGGATTCCTGATGGCAGTTGCTTTTCCTTGGTCCACACTTCCATCATCTGTGTGGCTTGCAGACCGTGGGAGCCCCACCAAAGCCCATCTTGACATGCAGTGGCTAAACAGCCCTAGCCTGGCCACCACTGTTCAAATCTCTCACCTTCCCTGCCACCTTGCCTCACTCCCTCAGCTACATAGGTACAGACAGCTTTTTGCAGCAGTGTGTGGTGATCTGGATAAGGGGTTAAAGATTGTGGTTAAGGTTGGGCTGAAAATGTTTACAGTTTTTTAACTAAAAAGGGCATGATTATCAAAGTTACTTTAAAATTGCTGTCATCTGCCCCATCTCTTGGACGTGGGGCATTTTATGGCTCCAGGGACATCTGTTTGCATAACTGAGAGGGTGGTACAGAGTCAGTATCCGCTGCTGATAGAAATGCCTGTCAGACAACGAGCTTAGTGTCTTTGCTGAGAGAGGTGTGTTGACTTCTCTGGAAGGATTACTCCCTTGTTCTCAGCCTGCTTGCCAACTGGCTGTTCCCTTCATCTGGGCTTCTGATACTCATGTAAAGAGTGGTACAAAACCCTGGCTTGTGTGCAGTGCATGATCTCTGTTCTCTGCAGATAAATCGTTCTGACACGATGCAGCAGTAGCAAGCTGCTTAGTCCGACCAGCTTCTGTTATCTGTTTCAGAAGCTTCAGTGGCCTTTAACTGTTTCATCACAAATAATTTCTAACAAATCCACAAAAACACCACGCAAGAAGGAGGAGTAAAAGTTTTGATCTCTGTGCTTACAATCAAAGCTACACGTTGGTGGGCAGTATGAAACATCCCTTAGCTCCTTTCTCAACCAGCAAACCAGTGATTATCTATGACTCTTCAAAGGACACAACCCCCAGACATTGTATGACCAGTTCACTTCCTCACCTTACTCTGAGACTCTCCCTTCACATCACTTGTGAAACCATTAGCCAAGCCTTCTAAACTGTATCACAGAAATATTTTTCCTCAGCTGGGAACAAGTATACTTCTCAGAACAATCTCAGGATGATTTGATCCTACTCCTTTCACAGAACTGAAACTGCTATTTTCTGAGAGGGCTCAAGTACCAACTCCTTTCTCCTGACCCTCTTCAGCTGTTGACTGTGAAATTCTCCTTACTTACCTGGCACTTTTACAGAGATTGGTAACGCATCACTATACTTACTTGCTCCCAACATCTTTTTTCCTGTAATTGACAGTAGGTGTCTTTCCACAGAAAAATAGCTCTGTGATGTTATGGCTGGGTATCCAACTCTGTCTGTACTCTGCTGCTTTGCCGTCTTCTCTCCCACATGCAAGTCCTCTCAGAAATGACAACCTCAAAAGCACATCCTCTGTCAAGAAAAAGTTCCACAGTTATTCCCTTTCCTCAGTGCAGATCAACACAAGTTTGCTGAGAAATGCTGCCTGACAATCACAAGCTTCTGATTTGAATGCACTTACAGATTTCTTTCTGGAATCTGTACCTGCTTACAGTCAGTTTCCACCAGCTGCAATGAGACTTCAGGCTCTAAAACAGCACCCTCATGAGAAGAAATTTTAACGGCACTTAAGCAGAAATACTTAATCTTGATTTCATCACACTTGAAGTATTTAACAAGCAATACTTTAATAAAAATGTCACTAAAACAACTCCAGATATTCTGTTTGTCCTTTAACATTAGTCTTTACCCTCTCAACAGCTCTGCAGTTTGTCTCAGGAAACTCCTACTGTCTTGTTACCTCATTATTCCCTTCTAAAATTTTATCATTATAGCCCACTTCACACCTCCTCTACCATACTGTCAAATGCTCCTGTGACCTATGGTGCATTTTATAGTTCTAGTTATAGCTATAGAATCAAACCTGCAAAATCTACACCCTGATCTGCCCGTGACACGTAGGTCACCTTTGGCAGGCCCCCGATTTCTTTAGGCTTCAGCCTTACTAGCCATAAAACTACTTTGTTCTTTGAGATTTATGGCTGAAAACCACAGAATAGAGCTATATATGTTAATACTGCTTACGAAGAGTTTTCAAGTGTGCTGCAATCTCTTTGAATGACTGAATCCATGTAGAGATTAATTATATCTCATAGACCTAGGAATAAAGTATCTCTAAAGGGCCCTGCTGGACAGTGCCTATCAACCAATGATCTAACACACTTTCTGCGTCTTCCACCCACTTACTCAATTATTCCTGGATGAAGAGGAATAGATATGAGGCACCCATGCATCTCCAACCTGAAGTAAATTGGTGTCTTTTAGTTCTTTGCTGTGGAGGTCTAAATGATGCTAAATGCATTTAACCTCCCTGTGGCAGGTTGCCTTTCCTTTCAGAAAAAGAAATTTAGCTCAACCCTTCTCCCCTCCAATTTCTTCGCAAATACCCTTGACTGCATTCAGCTGGGTGCAGGGAGTGGAGACCAAAAGAACTGAAGCTATGCCTGAGAACATTTGCCACCCACACACTGCAACAGTGTTCAGGAGCTAAATCTTATTTACGAGGCTTAGTTTCGTTTCCAGTCCTTTGTGCCAAAAATCCCAGTGCATTATAATTTGTACACACGGGTGGCCACACAGTTTTGGCACTATTTGCTACACACTAGCCCTCTCTTAATCTGGTCTGGGGTCTATAGACATACAACAGTTCCACAAATGTGTGGGAGTGTGGATATGACAAACGACATCAGGAGATGCATGTAGAGACACATTCAACAGGCAATAAAAAATATCAGAGAACTCTTAAGTAAGAGACGTTGAAATAGGACTGAAAAATGTATTAACTGTATTGCAACATTTGAGCACAAGCCCAGAATTGGAAGCAAACAGCTTGCTTTGAACATTTCATCAGGCATGTTTCTCTGTAGTAAGCAAAGTTAAAACCCTAGCCAAACTATGTGTAGCCAATACCCTTTGGACTTATTTGGGATGAAGACCAAACACATTTTGGTGCTCAGACATCTTTTGAATAGAAGGCAAACAACTCTGAGTTTTGTCAATATATGTTTAGGCACAGGTTTTGAAAGAAAACTGATTCACTACCTTCATTCATGTTGAATTATATAAAATCTAAAATTTACTCTGTACCTTCATTCACTATCCTCACTCACCTGAAATACTTGAGAGTGATATTACAGTAACTCATTCTCCAAATGAGAATGTGTCCATGTGTCACTTTGACGTGGTAACATGTCTGACATGGGACCGATGCCAATCTCAAAGGAGTGCCATATGCACTTTAGTTCTATTGTTTACATAAATTATCTCATATATACTTGGGAAAGATTAGCATCTCCCTTTTGCAATTGTATTTGTCGAAAACGGGCTGCAAAGGTAAAGAAGAGAATCCGAGTTCTGAATGCTTGCCGGGAAAATGTAACTCTATCCCACCCACTGCTCAAGGTAAAGAGTAAGAAACCTTCATCATTTCTTTCATTAGTTCTGTCCCACCCCGAGTCTCCAAGTGTAGTAACACAACAAGCCTCAAACCGTGTCATGAGTAACTCTATAACCAGCACAGGTCACTAAACAAATTGGAGTATCTAGGCTGATTACAAAGTATCATGCTTATAAAGCAGCGTTTCAAAAAGCGCTGCCAAGTCTCACGGCTACCGCGCTTGGGAGCTTTGTGCTACTTGTAAGCTTCCTCGCTTAAATCTTTGCTACGAGGACCGACAGCGCCCGTCGGACGGGTGGGATGTCTGGTGCCCAAGGCCAGATCTGAACGCCCGACGTCCAGGTTTGGTGCCGAGCCTGGACTTGGAGAGCACCGCTGGAAGGTCCCAGTCACCGAGTTTAAACTCCCTTCCTCCGCGCCTCCCCCGTCCCGTTCCCTTCCTATGAAGTCGAAGTGAAGGCGTGTGCGGTCGCTTCCTGGATGCTCTTCCCCCACCCGCGCCCCCCGCCCCGGCCCGAGGGCGCTGCCCGCAGCCAGCCCCTTCCCTTCGCCCCTGCCCACCGAGAAGGGAGGGCGGACACGGCAGCCCCGCGGGCGAGGCGGCGGCGGAGCTGAGGGGCTCTGTCCCCGGAGATGGGTGAGGGAGGACGGGCGCGGTGGCGGCGGGTGAGATGGGTCGCCGCGTGAGATGGGTCCCCGCCTGAGGGGACGCAAGTCCCCGCCCGAGGGCAGAGGAGCGGCCGCTGCCTGGCAGCGCCCCGGGGGACGGAGCACTGCCCGCCCAGGGAGCGCAGCTGCCCCGGGCCGGCACCCGCGGGTGCGGCAGCGGGGCCGGCCGGGCTCACGGCTCCTCCCGCCGGAGCGCTGCCGGGCCGGGCCGGGGGCGGAGGAGGCGGGGAAGGGGGGAGCCGCTGCCGTCACCGAGGCTCCCGGCTCACTCTGCTCGTCGCCGCGGCAGCCCCAGCCCCGCTCCCACCCCCTCGCCTGCCCCCACCCTCCTTTCCTTTCTCTCGCTTTCTCGGCGAGAGCACTGTGCCTCCCTTCCCAGATGGCAGCCGGCAGCGCCATGCAGCCTCTCGTTCCTCCTCCTCCTCTCCCTCCTCTCCGACTCTAAGTTAATGCCATGCTGCCGCTGCTCTTCCCGGCACTGCTGGCCGCCTGCCTGCCGCCCTGCCAGGCCTGGAGCCCCTCGGCGGCTGCCAGCGGTCAGGAGGAGCAGGAGCAGGAGCTCTTCTTGCCCCCTGCCAACTCCTCCTCCCGCTCCTTGGCCAGCCTCGAGATGGACCTCGACGGCGCAGCGAGCAAGGAGGAAGGGAGCACCGACAGCCCGGGCACGCCGGCTGCCCCTAGCCAAGAACCTTTCTCTTCCACTCCCACCTCCCCCGGACAGCAGCAGCAGCGGGAGCAGCAGGAACAGCAGCAGCGTCCCCAGCCGCAGGGGCAGCCGCAGCCCGCCGAGGACCCGCACTGCAACATCAGCGTGCAGCGGCAGATGCTGAGCTCGCTGCTGGTGCGCTGGAGCCGCCCGCTGGGCATCCAGTGCGACCTCTTGCTCTTCTCCACCAACAGCCACGGGCGGGCCTTCTTCTCCGCCGCCTTTCACCGCGTGGGGCCGCCGCTGCTCATCGAGCACCTGGGGCTGGCGGCCGGCGGCGCTCAGCAGGACTTGCGCCTCTGCGTGGGCTGTAGCTGGGTGCGGGGCAGGCGGGTCGGGCGCCTGCGGGGCACCGCGCCCCAGCCCGCTGCCGCCGCTGCCTCCTCCTCCTCCTCCTCGCTGTCCTACCCGCCGGCGGCGGAGCCTGGCCAGTACTGGCTGCAAGGGGAGCCGCTGAATTTCTGCTGCCTGGATTTCAGCCTGGAGGAGCTAAAGGGCGAGCCGGGCTGGCGAATGAACCGCAAGCCCATCGAGTCCACCTTGGTGGCGTGTTTTATGACTCTGGTCATCATCGTGTGGAGCGTGGCCGCCCTCATCTGGCCCGTGCCCATCATCGCCGGATTCCTGCCCAACGGGATGGAGCAGCGCCGCGGCACCACCGCCGGCACCACCACCACCGCCACCGCCGCCAAATAGCCTATCCCGGTGACCCCCCTTCTCTTCGTCGTGTGCTGTGGAGGGACGCGGGACGGACTCTGTCGTGTGTTTGTTGTTTAAAGCGTGCCACAGGTGCGCAGCGGGCCGCGGGGCCGCCTTAGCGCCCTCCCGGCCCTGCCCGGCTCCGAGGGGAGCGGCCCCGAGGGGACCTGTGTGCGCGTTTTATATCTTTAATACCCGTTTTAAACGAACCTTTTGGTAAAAAAAAAAAAAAAAAAAAAAAAAAGAAAAAAAAAGGAAAAAAGAAAAAAGGAAAGGAAAAGTCCACCCAAAAAATCAAAGGAGGAACTCAGAGAACCTCCTATTTGGCCATATTTATTGTCATCGCAGTAGCATTTTCGTATAGGATACAGTTTGAGTGGGTTTTTCCTTTATGGACAGAAAGGGACATCTCTCTGGGCAGGATGGAGAACTGAAGCGATATATATATTGTTATTGCTGAAGCTGAACTTTAATGAATCTTTTACACTGTATTTACCAGTTGAGATAGTGTGTATTTATTATTGTAGCTCTGCGTTATTTGGCTTTTAATACAGAGACTTTCTTTCTGGAGCCACTGTAGCCTTTTGTTGGTCTGTTTCCGCCAGGGTGGAATGGAGGTTTTGGCTGGCCTTCCTGTCTGCAAACCAGCCACAAAGCTCCCCATGAGATGGTGTTATCAGGGTTGTTGGTGGGAAAAGGGGAACCCCAAACCCTTTCTGCATGGTGTTTGCCCTGTCCATACGGTAGATGTGGGTCTGTATGCCTACAGCAGGGTTAGGTGGAGTGGGGTGGGGAGTTTGGCTGTGCCGGAGATCCTCCAAGGCATTTTGATCTGCACCGCTCCACAGACTACAGCTTTCTCCTCAGTTTGAGGTTAAGTGGCTTCAGTCCTGGGAAGATGAGGCCCACTCTTTAAGGTGCACTAAAAGCAGTGTGGGGGCAAGTCTCTGACTTCCACAAAGTTCTTTCCTCAAAAGCAGCTTGGATGCAGTGTATTTGTTGGAGACGTGGTAATACTGTACCTCTTTTTCATTTGCCAGCCTGCAGGGTTGCTCACAGAAAGTCTTTGGGGTGAGAAGGCAGAAGGTGCCAGTCCAGGACTAGATTCCAGCTGCTGCTGTGCAAACATGCAAAGAAGAAATATTTCTTCTCTCTTGTTTGAGCAGACAGTTGTGTAGCCTAAAATATCATTTGTTGTATACTTCCAGCAGTTTAGCCTTATAAGAAGTTGTTTCATGATAAGTCCAGCTGAAGTTTCTAAAACCAAAATATGAGCTAGGTGACAAATATTTGCAATAGGAATTCTCATTCCTTTGCCAACATCAATGAATTTAATTTGTTAGGAACACACGAATTCACTTGGGCCTAATTCAGTGTATTTGTAATGTTTTCTTCCCAAGGGTTTGGTGGAAATGACTGGATGAAATGTCTGGAAGGATTAAATTCTTAGGATTCCTATACTTTTAAATTGAGAACAAAATAAATTAAATGCATGCTCTATGTTTATGCTATCTGGAAAAAGCTGCAGAGAGAACAAAATTGACAAGCAGCAGAAATTAATCAAGATTTCAAAATCCTCTATGTCACAGGGCTGCCTCTATACCCACTGTTTCTCCTATTGATCTTGATGGGGTCATCGTTCGAGTAAATACTGCAGTCACTGTGAGAAGTGTTCACTTGACATCTTGATTCAACGGGCACCTTCCCCTATAAGCTTAGTTTACAGAGCCCCTCTTTTCTTTCCTTGATGTGAAAAACAGTGTAATTTCTACCTTGTGCAAACTGTTGTGCACAGACATTTGACATGCTAGAGAGCAATTTTTTGCCTATCATACCCTGTGTGACAGAGAAGCCTCTTCATACTGAAAAGCAAGGCTAGCGAGAAAACATGATGATAATGGTAACAGCCTCCTGAAAGAGAAATGTTTTACATATGGAATAGACCTTAGAAGAGTTGCCATGCTAGGAAATAATTTCTTCTTTTGAATGAGATGCTTTTTGGCAGAGAGTTAAAAATTTTAATTGGAAGTTTTTCTGGCTTTGTAGTTCAAAATGTATAGTCCTCACTGTCATGCAGGCAGCCTGTGCTCAAACTCAAGGTTGGAATCTCTTTTTTTTTTTTGCTTATCCTTATTTCACCAATGACCTTCTATTGGTTGTTGTTGGTTTTTTCCTTTTTTTTTTTTCCCCTGAATTGCATCAACATAATGTCAGAAATAGGCAGCTTCAGCTATTAAAGGTTTATTATTTGCAGTTCTTGCAGATACCTACAAGGTGATACACCGCAACTGGTACAAAATGGCTTTTGTTTTTCTAACTTCTGTCAATATCAGCTTGAATATAAACTTCATGAGTAGGTAGCGACACACTCTGAATATTTTACTGCTTCACTTATAAAACGTGATAGAAAAGAGGGATTTACTCATAGTTATTCTATAAATACACTTGTAAGTGGAGCTACTATTAAAAATTTGATAAAACATGAAATGTTTGAATCACAGGGATGGCATTAAAAAAAAAGCAAACTCCAAAGGCAAATCTTGTTCAGAATATAAAAAACTGGAACATTTTCAGGGATTACTGATCTCAGACACAATGTGCAAAGAGCACTTGTGTGTTAGGGAATGTGTTTCCATAGATCACAGTAACCATGGGGGTAAGCATGTTCCTATCACAGAGAGAGGCCAGTCTGTGTTTCTGTGCCTTAAAGACGAGTTTAAGGCACAGCAGAGGGCACAGAGATTACCTGATGTGGAGGCTTTAGCCTGGATCTAACTCCCTGAACCCCTGGGTTTCAGTGAGATGTCAGCTGGGCTTCTCCTGTAAAGAACAGAGTGGAAATGCACAATGCAGATCTTGAGCTTTCTTCAGTCTCTGCTACATCTAACATCAATAACTCTGCTCCTATAGCTGTGGCTGCTTCTATCACTCTAAGTAACCTATAATTTTGAGTAACTTTTGCCCACATCCATTGGAATTTCATCTGAATCCAATCCAGAAGAGGCAAGCCCAGGGCAATGTGAAACAATACATCTGCACACCAGCTAGTTTTAGGGTCCAGCTTTAGACACTGAAATGTCTATTTGTTTTCTTTTTCACTGGCAGTGGAGCTTTGTTGTCTCTTTGCTGGAGTCAATTCTAAGCCATTTTTATTCATTTGGATTTATTTTTAAGACCTGCTGGTAGCAGGGCCAGCACGAGAGCAGATGAGTCACCATATATAATCCTTTATGTACTCAGGGAGGGCATATATATGTATATATCTATCTATACATGAGGACTCACTGTGTAGAATAGAAAGTCAAAATAAAAGGGACAAAAAGGATGGTGAGAAACAAATAATACTGAGCAAGTAATACTGTTTTTCTTTCCCTATTTGTTGGATCTTGTTTCCTGGTAAGTTATCCTGACTTTATTTATGTACAAGTGTTTGTGGAAAGCAAGGGATACTTAGAAACAGAGGTAGTTTCTTGGTTTTCTTATGTAATTCAACTATATTACAGATTATTTTTTTCATTCCAGGAACCAGGAACTCTCTCTAGACACAGATTCAGTGTTAGAAGGTATTAGGCTTGTCTGCTAGTGTTAGAATTTTTTCTGTACATTCAGAACTCAGAATTTAATCTCTCTCCCTCACCTATTTTCTTAGTTAAGTTTTTATGGGTGTGTTAGAAGCAGAAGTATACAGAGTCATATGTAGTTTTAGCATGGACACAGTTTTGCTGTTACTTGGTGCCACACCGATTCCAATAATAAAAATATAAAAATGTAGTACAGTATAATAATAGTTATATATTATGTAAGCACACTGTTGTTCAATAGGTTACCAGTAATTGATCATTTTTTGTATGTCAGGAGATATGTGGATATATGGGACAAAATTACCATACTTGGTTAAATGTAATAGTTCTTACTTATTCAGGGCTTAGTTCACCAGTGCTTTCGATGATTAACACGACTGCAACAGCAGGACTATTTGTGCAGTGAATATTACTCAATATGAGTAAGGGCTACTGAACCAGACCCTAAAAAAAACTAATTAAAAGCTGTAGTTGACTGAATAAGTATTATTCATTGTGACATCCGCTTGCTGAATAAAAGTATCTCCAGGGCTGACATTACGTGATCCCAGAGGCTGAACAAAAGCCAAGTGAAATCAAATAGTTAATTGAAGTTTTGTATGACTGGAGATCAAAGAATTTATTTTGAGGTTATATATCTAGATGTATGAGTAGGTATGACGTTCATGTTCCTCTCTGGCTTTTATAAACGTAGTTAATAAATCCAAAGCCAGGATTTCTCAGTCCTGTGTAGGGCCTTGCCTGTTTGGAAATTAGCTTCTTTCTGAAGCTAGTGTGAAAATGTCAGTTATTTTTCAAGGAATTTTACTGAATAAATGTAAATTTTTTTCCAATATATTTCAGGGAGTGGCCTTGACTTTGTAAAAAACATTTGTAATGATTCCATGAAAATGTGTAAATCTTAAGTCCCATATGTATTCAGATTTCAAAACATAAAAAATCTTTTTAATCAGTAACTGAGTTTTAAAAGCATATTTTTGAACAAAAAAATCAGTTTCCATTTTTCTCCTCAGAAGTAGAACATTTCAATGAAGATCAGAAGTGCACTTGAGTGTTTCACGTTGTGATTTTTTGTGGAAAAAAAATTCCCTTGTGTGATTTGAAATTGATAACAGCTTGTGACATATAAGGTACTATATTTCTTGTCCCATCTTCATAATATTTCTGGTAAAATAAGTTGTCCAAAACAATTGTAAATAATAATAATATTATTAATAATAAAGCAGCTCAGCCCATTTGTTTTGTTTCTGTTCTATTCTACCAAGGGAGAAAGCAGTTTGGTATAAAATTTGGGATATTCAAGATGTTTATTGGAAACATGTGGATGGTGTTTAATTAGGTTTGTGACCAGGCTTCAGTCTCACAATCCAAACATCTTCCAACTTTTTATAAAGTTTGGGTTCTAACTGAGTGTAGCAGTTTGAGCATTTATATGTCAGCCACAGTCTCTGGATTTGCATGTTGGGAAAGCCAGGATCTAAAACCTTCTCTTATTTTAGGTTTCTTATTGTCTTGGTAGGTTAGCAATCTCAGAGCAAAATCGAGGAAAACTGAAAGGTGCAAATATCCTATGAAATGCTGTGTGTTTCTGTGTATTTGACTTGCTCTTAGCTTTCATAGAAAACATCAAATTAAGAAGATATAAATTAGAGATCAGTGCTGTCCTGAGAAAGTGAATTCCCTAGGAGTGTGAAGTTAAATTATGTTTTGTTCCTTGTAAGGTGACACTTGTTAGATGCAGTGAAACTGTACCTTGTTGGTGTCATTCTGGGTGTTGCTAAGCAACATGAAGTAGTTAAAATGGAAATACAGAAGAAGAGCATGGAGGAATAAAGGAAATAAGAGACACAGAAAAAGCACAGAAGAGAGTAAATGTACCAGCACATCCTGCAAAGAAGTTGTGAATACCAACTGTGAAAAAGACAGCGATTAAGATCATAGAGAAAAAAACCACAAGGTGAATTAGGAACTTGATTACGTTACTTCATG